CGGCAATTGATAAAAGTCGCAGATTTTATTAAAGTTATGACTGTTCCGGAAAGGGAAGCTTGGGAAAGTTTTGTGTTGGTAATTGAAAATTTCCTAGGTAACCATAAAGCACCAAATTATGAAGAAATTGTACATAATATGCTGACAAACTTTCAGACTCTAGGAGCAAATATGAGTATCAAGTTACACTATCTCCGCAATCATTTGGATAAATTTCCAGATAATTTAGGAAATTATAGTGAGGAACAAGGAGAGCGGTTCCACCAGGATCTGAAAGTAATGGAAGAAAGATATCAGGGTCGATGGGACTGTCATATGATGGCAGATTACTGCTGGTCTTTAAAAAGAGATTGTCCCCGGAAAAATTATAAAAGAAAATCTCTAAAAAGGCGTTTTATGGAAATATAACATGTTTTCAAATTTTGCTCTCTATTTAATTCGATATATCATATTTTTATCCAAATAAAACTGACATTATAAATATATCTGTTATTTTGTTTCTCGTTTTCCGATTTTTGTAATGTAAAATAAGAATAAGTATTAAAAAAAAACGAAAGCAAATCTTACAAAATCATTCATAATTTCATGAATTGTGAGTATAAATATATCCAAAATCAATCTTATATCTAGGGCAACAAAACCACTGTAGACCAGTGTTATCGGTATTGGACTTATAGGCCTATGTTTCATTACTAAGGTGTTCCAATAAAATGAAATGTTACACGATTTTGGATGAAAAATTCGTTTCCTAAAATGGCCCTATAACCGCCCGGAGGTTCTGGAACGAGATGGAACGTAATTTTCACGCCGAATATTTTAAGATTTATCGAACCGGTTAAAGGCATTGAGCTCGTGGCAATACCTCCGACTACTCCCGTATTTTCGATGTTGCAAAGGGCTTCGTCGTGTAATTCTTCTATACAAAGCAGATTGAGGTCGGAGCCGGTGTCGAGAAGGGCGTTTACTCCCCCGTTTCGAAGCGCTGTACTTCGTAGATGGACTGACGGGCCTCTTCCTGTTGTTAGGCATTTTGGCTCGTCCTTGGTTGGACTCGCAACTCTCCTGCAGTCATCAGTTGTGGATTTTGTTGTCCCGGTGACATCATACTGCTCTGTGATGGCTGCTGTTCCGGTCTTAAGAGAGGTATCGGTTCTGTGATCGTCGATTGTTGTTCTATGACTTGTTTCTGCGAGTTTTGAAGAATTGATCGGGGGTATTGATTCTGGAAACCCCGATATTGGCCCTTTGGATACTGCTGGTAAATGTTGGGGGCCCTCGTTGTAGTAGACGGAGACTGGACGGGCATACTTGCCATTGCCTCCGATTGACGAGCGCCCGACCCGTTTAAATGATCGTATACGTCTCGACGTTCTCCCTTTGGGCAAAATGGACAGTTACAGATTATCGAAGGATCTAATTTATGTCGCAATTTAGCCTCCTCCGAGTCTTCATCTTCTTCGAAACAAACAGTTCTTCTAGTGGGACCCATTATTCCCGGGTGATAACGATTTTGATTATAATTCTGTAAGTTCAGTTAATTTATCACGAATTCCATTTGCATTCCAATGAACTAAATTTGTAGCTTTATGTCTCGACTTAGCCATGATTAATACTATTACTCATTACTACAATTCTTTCAAAATGGTTGCTACACGAGCTCAATTTTTCATTCAGGTCCAATGCCAACTTTAAAAGTTTGTCGAAACTACATATAGAACTAACCATGAACACCCGCTTCGCTGGGTTACCTTTAATAGAACAGTTATTTGTTCATATATAAATTTTATATGGTGTTTTAAAAGTTTCTATAACAATCCAACATATTTTCAATCGATAAGAATATTTATTTATTTATTTATTTATAACAAACACTGAACCCAACAGCAGATCCATTAACAGGATTCCTTAAATATAGTTACAAAAATGAGCATAGTAGAGTTCAATACAAATACAATGATTAAGAATACATCGATAAACTTATCTTACATAGTATTACAAATAATTCGCAGAAAGAATAGTACATAAAGTGCTTATATCGTGAATCATCCACACATCCAAGTTATTATCAGCGTTATATAGTTTATTAAATGCATCCATCATACGATAAGTAGGAGCAGAGGTGGCAAAGTTGGTGTTGGCTATTGGAAGATGGAAGGGTGGACAGCACCTACGCACTGGCACCTTAAACATTATTAGACTAAGACGCCGTGCACAATCAATTTTGCCTTGAACTAAACGCACTACAAACATGGCAGATGCACATAATCGACGATCATGTCTTTACATGAAAGAGAGTACGCGGAACTTACTACAGAGGCTGACATAGTCCGACCCAGGGTCAGGATAATCTCCGTCAGTCCTCCACAAGAGAAATTTAAGAAATTTCTTTTGTATTTTGTCAATTTTGTTTGAGTAAACATCATAAATTGGAGACCATACAATCGAGGCATACTCTAAACGGGATCTAAGTAGAGAATAGTAGATACTTTTCATTGCCTTTATGGTATGTAAATTACGACTAGATCGTGTAACAAACCCTAACATCTTCCAAGAGCCTTTCAAAACCTTATTAATATGAGGTTGAAAGGTGAGTTTGTTGTCGAATGTAACGCCTAGATCGGTGTGATAGATAACTCTTTTAACCGAAATATAGCCAATCACATAATCGAACTGTATCGGAGACTTATTCCTACAGAAAGACATAATTTTACATTTTTCAAAATTCAGAAATAATTCATAATCAGTACATAAATTCACAAAAAAAGTGATGAAGCTCTGAAGTATCGAACAGTCACGGACAGACTTTATTGCTAAGTAGAGTTTAGTATCATCTGGATATGCGTCACATAAAAAATCCGGGTTATAACTACGTAGTTGTATTAAAATGACGTTTAGGAAAATGATAAAAAGCAATGGACCTAGGTTGGAACCCTGTGGAACACCCGACGTGGAGAGATATATTTTCGATAAGTGAGTTCCAAAGACAACTCTATTTTTCCTATTAAACAGGTAGGAACTTAATAGACACATTAGGCCTTCAAAAAGATTCAGTTCAACAAGAGATTCCAAAAGTTTCGAGATATTGACTTTATCAAATGTCTTAGAAAAGTCTGTGTATAACGTGTCAACTTGTAGACCAGCTAAAAAAGAGTCATGTACAAATTGTGTAAAACATAAGAGGTTAGTAACCGTAGATCTACCAGGGACAAACCCATGCTGATACGGAGATAATAGTGGTTTAAAGTAAGAAAATAGTTTTGAGTATAGGTAAATTTCAAAGACTTTTGAGAAGGTACATAGAATAGAGATCGGTCTATAATTTTTTATGTCTGATGGATCTCCAGATTTTAGAATAGGACAGATGTTAGAGATTTTCCAGTAGTCCGGGAATATACCAGATTTAAGGCAACAGCCAAAAATGATTGTTAGTGGTTCAGTTAACAGGCCGGCATATGATTTAACTACACTGCATGGAATACCATCAATACCAGCCGACCATTTATCAGGAAGCTTTTGGATGGAATTAAAAACATCTTCACACGAGGGAAGCTCCACAGAGCCCAAGTGATCCATTAAATACGGACATGAATTGAACTGATCCGAAGCTGAAAAAAAGACAGATCCAAAGTAATCCGCGAAGCTTTCAGCAATTAAATTTAAGTCAGTGGTTAATTGATTATTGATTACAAAAGACTGCGTGTTATTTTTATCAGATCGAAGTTTTTTCATAAGAGACCAGAATGCTGAGGGTTGCTTGTCAAAGTTGAGCTCGGAGGTCTTAATATATTCTAGCCGAGCCGCAGCAATCTGGGACTTAATTGAAATTCTTAGCTTCACGAATTGTTGGTAATGAAACGAAGACCCAGTACGTTTAAACTTTAATCTATGCGACTCTTTGAGCTTCAGATCAGATTTAATTTTGGAACTGAACCATGGAGGAAAAGTTCGAGTATTTACATTACTAAATCGTTGAGTAGGAGTACATGATTTAAAAATAGAATTAATCGTATCATAAAAGGTAGCACACAAAACATTTGGTTCGCCTGGTGGAAGGATCCGGTTCCACTCTATTGAGACTAGTTCATTAATGAGATCAGTATTGAGTTTGCTGAAATTAATGTCATGCTTAGGAGTAGGTGATATTTTACTTTTGTAAGTATTATTTAACTTAAGTGAGATGACAAGAGCAGGATGATGATTATCAGGGTTAACTAAGGACCAAGAGGAACCTTCCACAAGACAACCAATGTTCAAAAAGACTAAGTCAAGACATCTTTGATTAATATTAAAAATAGAGTTAAACTGACTGAGCCCAAGATGCTCTTGCCAGTTTCTAATGACGTTGGACTTGTGATCACAGACGGAGATATTGTAGCAGTTGCAGAAGGCAGGGGCGTTGAAGTCACCAAGTACGACAAGTTGACGTTGAAATTCAGATAAAAATCCAGTGATGTCATCAAAGAATTGGTCAAATAGATGTCGGCCGATGTCCGGGGCAATGTACACGATAACCAATATAAGTGAAGGTTTACCAGGTGATGAGATTCTTATACATATTGCATCCACGTCTTCATATTTATTTGTGAGATGATCTAGAGGAATTTGCGTTGCTGAGATATGCAGTTTGATAGCAAATAGGACTCCGCCACCTTTTCTCTTTGTGCTGGAAATTCTATCTGCTCTGAAGATGGTGGAGATGTTTAAGTCCAGGAATTCTGAAGATAATTGTCAGGTGTGAGCCAGGTCTCTGTTAAGGCAATAATATCGGCATCAATTAGCATAATAGAATCAGCAATCGTATCAAACTTTGTGTTAATTCCTCTAGAGTTTTGGTAGAAAATAGTTATGTTTGTTTCCAGGTCTCTATTATCCTTGAGATTCCGTTGCGCGTGACCAGGCAAATGTTCTCCTCGCCTTTCGCTTTTCTTTGAGCCAACTCCTTCTTCAGCGATGCATGCTTCTGACGTTGTAAAACTGTCCAATCCCGATGAATCTGGAGGTTGGCAAGGACCTTTGGTAGGGTATTTGAGCGTTTAGATGCCTGAAACGATTCCAATAAGTTATCAACATCTGCAGGTGACGAAGCAATAACTTTTACAGGGCGCGGTCTTGATAAGGAGTCAGAGTATTTACCAATTCTAAATGACAATGAAATTTGAAGATTCAATATCAAGAGAGTCCAGCCCAGCTTTAATTCGGTTAAGATCTACATTCTCACCTTGAGATTTATCCTCAGGAAGGCCATAAACGATGATGTTTTTTTTACGCTTATCTCGTTCTTCGATTTCATCGAGTAAGTGGTCATCATTCCGAGAAGACATAGAGGGTGACAATTTGGCTATCTCAAGGTCCTTTTTAAGATTATCACATCTACTATCAATTCTTGCAGTGTCTTGATCAAGATTGGCCAGTCTGGATTCAATGTCACCAACGCGTTGGGCAAGTACACTTGTATTAGCTGCTATTGAGTTTTGTACTTCACTCAGCTTGGCATCAACCAAGCTAAGTTTTTCATTAAAAACACTTATGTGTTTATTAACAGTGTCTTCAAGGTTCCTTTTTAGTGAACTAATCTGCGGTTGCATAGTGCTTTGAATGATGGGGCCAATGGCTGTGTTAACAGACGTGACGATAATGTCCTGTAGGGAACCTTTGAACTCTTCGATAATTGATTCCTTCAGCGCTTCTATTGAAAAGGGTAGAGGCGAGGCAGGTCTACGAGAGCAGCAGCGAGTGAAGGCACCTGAAGAGTTAGTTCCAGTGAGAAGAGCGCAGCTTGGATGATATTTGGCATTACACTGAGGACAGGTCACTGTTTTACCTATAATCTTCGCATTACATCCTCGGCAGCACACATTATCCTTATCAATTAATAGGGTTTTCGGCGGATTAAAAGTTGTATCTTCACTCATAGTTACTGAATCTGGTGCCTTATATAGTCGAAAACAATACAAGTACACTAAAAGTACTACTGGCTGTGTAATGTGACTATACACAAAGCCGCTTATACCTTTACCAGTAACCTTGCTGCAGACTAGTAGTGAATGTATGACTGTAATTATGAGCGTCACAAAAAAAGCAAGAGCCGATGACCGTTGATCACAGGAATGTATGTAGAAATTTATTAAAAGCAATTACTGAATACACTATGTAGATAATCCGTAAAGACAACTAGAGAAGGTGAGGGCCACACAAAACTGATACACTGTTGACCTTCAAGTACTATAGTTTACCAATACATAAGAAATGTTTAATGCACAGTAATGCGTTCCACAGATGCGTGAAGATAACACAACTTGACCTTGAGAGGAAAACAAAAACTTACTGAAATTTTTTATTTTAATGGTCCAATTCACTAAAATAACAACTTTATATTTTACAAACTTGGGCTTAATTCACCAATGCACAAGAAATGATTAATGCAAAATAATACGTTACACAGATGCGAACAGGACCGCACAACTCGACCTCATGTATATTTTAATAATAATTAACCAATTCACGAATATTAATAATCCTACAATCGAAAACCCATGCACAATTCGATTGAAAGCCGAATTAGAGTCCAAAAATTACATCGAAGTTGAGTTTGGTTTAATCACAAAACTATTACAAGTTGAATAAATGCTAAGCAGAACAAAAACGATGTGTACACTCCGAAGTCAGAACTACATATTGACATACATTTCGAAGCTTTTCGATTTATTCGGAGTTACTCTAGATCATTCTAGAATTTTCCAAATCACTCTCATTCAATCAGAATCGAAACGTCGATTTTAGAACTTTTCAGACCATTCAAGAAATTTACAAAACATTCTCATTGGATTAAAATATATTTGTTGTTTGCACTTGCATGCGCTTCTCGTCTATTTTTTGGAGATGCTTTAGGTATATTGGACATTGTTTGAAATTGGATGGATGACTTTTTAAGCAGTCAACACATGTGGCTTGGGTTCCTTTGGATTTTGGACACTCTAAGGTGAGATGCTCTTCCGTGCATTTAACGCATCATGAAGTATTGTGGCAATGACTCATGCTATGGCCAAATCTTTGGCATTTGAAGCACTGGGTAATTCGCCTTGAATTTTTGTAATCTTCCCACTTAACCTTAAATGAGCCCAAGAATTTAATACGTTTTATTACACCGATTTGATCTGGGTTAGCAAGAGTTATAAAGTACGTTGGCGTAAAATTATCGCCATTTTGTTCGCTCTGTTGTTTACGCTTCATTAAAACACACTTAGTTACACTGACACTATGATCTTTTTCTAGTTCATCGATGATATCTTGAGGAGTGACACAATAAAGATTTGTTAAGACAACATGTCGTTTTTTATCTTGTTTGTTTGCATATGAGTGAAACTGGATTTCTAGTTTTTTGAAAAGAGCTGAAACTGAATTGAAGTCTTCTTCGGTGTTGGTATAAACTATGAAGTTCACATTAGTTGTTTTGAAATATACACGTTCTTTACACAATGATTTGATATTTAGTATTACTTTACTGATATCTGTAACTTTGGTGTTTACCACTATTGGTGAAATCTTGCGTGGTTTAGTTTGCCTGGTGTTACTCGTGCTATGTCTGTCTTCTTCTTCAGATTCCGAAAAATTATCAGATACCTTTTCGTCGTGCTTTCGTTTTATAGTTTTGGTTTTGGCTTCTTGCTATTTTCCTTGACCGGTATCAGTTGCTTCTGGGTCTCCGCCCATAATGAATAAATATTAATTGACGCCTTCACTGTCCTACTCACTACCATCCACACTCTTCGATGGTCACAGAGCGGTGCTTCTAATATACTGGGATCGCGGACTCATTGCTGGTGGTGGTGGACTAGAAAGTCCACCAATGAGGGGGCTCGGTTCAAGGTGGAAATGGAACTGAGACGCGCACCAATGAGAAGACTTGGTTTGAGGTGAAAGGGGAGCTGCTACTGAGCTGGCCAGCAGAGGCTCTCTTCGCGGTCCGTGCGTTTTCGAGTACCCAATTTCGGCTTCTTACGCGTGTACTTTTTTTTCAACATCTAGAGATTTCTCAAAATCTACCAGTTCGAATCGGCCCAAATTGTATTCGAAATCTAAGTTTGGTCAATCCTTTTCGAATGGCGCAAACCGCGATGAAATCGGTAAAGCTGTACAAAAGTTATGAGAGGGTCACATACATACATACACACATACACACACACTCACATACATACACACGGACATACAGACATACGGACATCATCGCAAAAACATTCAGGGAAGCTTCCTAGAACCTCAAAACGTCGAGATCTGATGAGAACTCGATTTTCAGAAAAGGGTTCAAACTAATCACTTCCCGATTTTTGAAAATTTTCAATTTTCTTCGAGCTCAAAAACATAATTTCCGTGTCAATTTGAGCTCTCCGAGCTCTAAAGTCTGATAGACGTTTGATAAAACACTATTTTTTGAATTTTCAAACCGCAATAACTTTTGAATGAATGAACCGATTTTCACGCATTTGGCAACATTCGACGCAGTTTTTAAGCTTCATAAAGAATATTTCAGTTTTAATTGATCGAACTATGAATTTCAGAGTGATTCCGAAAAAACACTTTTTTCGGTTTTCTTTCGACAACGATAACTCACAAACGAATCAACCGATTTTGATCGGACTGGAAGAGATCGACGTGGTTTTTTGATGTTAAGAGCTTATTAGATTTTTGAATTGATCCATAAAGCTGTTTCAAAGTTATAAGCGGGCCACATACATACATACATACATACATACACACACACAAACACACATACATACAGACATACGGACATCATCCCTAAATTATTCAGGGAAGCTTCCTAGGACCTCGAAACATCGAGATCTTATGAAAACTCAATTTTTGAAAAATGGAGTAAAACCAAATCACTTCCCGATTTTTGAAAATTTTCAATTTTCTTAGCGGAAAGTTAAAAAAAAAAAAATTTGGTAAGCAGTTGACCCTAAAGGCCATCCCTGCAACTTCCTGCTAATTCCCTCTATGTGTTTAAAATTGCACATGACATTTTTCAGCTTTTCGAGTCCAAAAGCCTGATGAGAGTTCAATAAAACAATATTCTTAAAATTTTCAAACTGCAATCAAACCGGAACACAAAAAAAAAGATGGTCTGTACATTAAATGCCACCTATCCACGGGCATGTTTATCGACCCACTAAATATGAATTTCAATTCAGTTTTAGCCGCCCACACACCAATTTCGAGTAAATTGCGGAAAACCGTGAAAAATAGCAAAAATTGGATGTTTTGGTAATAAAAAAAATTTGGGGATCTAAGACAAGAATAAATTTTATGTATTTTGATCTTGTGAATACTAATTTTATATGTGCTTAGGTCATAAGCTGTTTTAAATCCAAGAAAATTGTAAAATACTTTTAAAAATGGCAAAAGTCGCGAAAAATCGAAAATATTTTGATAAAAAAAGGCCACCCGGCAGCCAAAATGGAAGTAGATTTTTCAAATAAAGAAAATTGATTTTCAATAAAATAATATAAATACTAATAATGTATAACTTATGTAACAATAAAATAAATTTCAACCGACGGTGGAGATGCCGGTTGTTATTTATTTTTTGTCCAGGTCACCCAATATGCGATAAACCTAAATTAAATAAACAAAGAAATGACTTGAGAGGTAACTCTTCGCCTCCCAACCTACGTCTCTTCCTCAGGCTAGGTTAGTGCACGATTTCGGACGCCAGTTGTTTTTTAACTAGGGAAACAACAAACCCTTTGAATTTCAGGGCCGATCTGCAGGTATTCAGGGGAAAAACAATATATTATACTAATATTGGGAAAAGAAAGGAGGAAGTAATTTACGTAAATTAAATTATTATGAAATCAGCAAATATTCATGAAAATAAACAATTTATTTATAAACGGCAGTTATTTAATAACAAAGTCTATTTTCTAAATAATAAATTAAATCCTTTATGGACTTTTTAACTCGCACACAATAATTGGTTTTAACTCGATATTATAATTTATAAATGCCAATTATTGTTTTCAATATCTTAATTTTTGCGCAAATGGTTATAACAAAGTAACTCCAAAATAAAATAAAATACAATAGATTTCAAATAATTAAACGAATATAAACGATAATTTTAAATATTAGCTTTTCAATATTATTTACAAACGTAATAATAGTTAACGGAGATGTAATATTTTAATTAGTAATTACTGGCCAATTCAGAGACCCACACGCGGCTTTCGGGACAGGTATATATTCTCTTGTGATACCCCTTACTCGCTACTGAATCAACCCGATAAATCGATAGTAAATTAAATTAAACAATAAAAGAATAAATTATTTAAGCCAGGAGACAGCGGTGTACGGATAATAAATAATCTCAGCCTTTGAGTACTCATCAGAAAAAGGATACTCAACCCAAGGCATCAAATCCACACTCCTTACAATAGCAAAAGTCCTACGTGTCTACCTCACACCAAGCGGGCCACCGCGTGTCTGCCTAATTATTGTCACCGTAAACCGTTCGAGGCCTCGTGTTCGACAACAAGGGCCTCTCTAGCCATTTTCCCAAATTTAATAGACCCTTTGCTCGCGATCGATATTGTAGGGCTTCACCCGTGCGAATAAAGGCTATGATTCAATACTTATAATAACATTAGGTAATATATGACAATGATTTACGGCAATGTATACAAATAATAATAATAATAAATTATAAATAATTCATTATAAATGTCTGAAATAAAGTAAAATTAATTCTTAAATTAATAACAATAATATCAAAAATTTTAAACCTAAATAATAATATTAATAAATTCAATAAATTAATCAATAAATAGATACAAAATAATAAAATTCAGAGATACACCGAGTGTGGATCTGTTGCCAAATTTAGGCGAAGGGAGGGACGCATACAGGGAATAAAAAC